TGAAAGTGAACAGATCCACACTCGAAGACGTCCGCAAACGCTTCCAAATGAATAAAAGGAAACTCGAAGAACAGCGCAAAGAGTTTGATATTGAAGACCGACTGAAGGAAGTGAAGGAAGAAGAGGATAGACTCAAGGAATACAAGAAAGACAAACGCAAGGAGAAGAAGAAGAGGAAGAGAGCCGAAGAGGACGACAGCGGACACACCTCTGAGACCGACGATATGTCCAGACTTATGGGCTTCAGTCACTTCAGTCACCACAAGAACAAGTAGTGGTTCACTGCATATGAGACCACTTTCGGTGTCATTCATTCAGATTTGGTGTTATCATTGGGTTTAATGTATTATAATTTATATGTAGTTTTCTAATCATTTGCTTTGATTAAATCAATTTGATTTTATTAATTTGAGTTCAATGTAAAAACTAAAGCATTAAACATTTCACGTCATTTGCATTCAATCGTTTAAATTATCAATTCTCTAACATTCAAATTGTTGGCCGTTTATGTGAAAACACATTGAGTTCACCTAAAAGTTGACATATTTGTCAAGATTTAAGTTTTACTGACGTGTCAAACATGAAAGTGGTTTTAAATTTAGTTGTAGTCATCAGAGCAATGGTTTTGATAACTATATTGAGTGAAAGCACAAGCGATAAGACGTGTGATGAGATCCGTATCGATGCGATCACTACTGTAAACAATCAGACTCTTGTGGTATTCGATCACAACAAGAATGTATGGGTTGTGAACAGAGGGAATGGAGGCAGTGTGAGAGGTCCCTGTCCTGTGAGAAGTCTGTTCAATGAGATGAATGGTCCGGTAAAGGCGGCCGTCACTATCATAGATCACCCGTCAATAGTTGAGTTCATTGGGGCCGCCGTTTACTTCGAAAGCAAACAATTCTATACTTTTCGGAATTTCAACCCATATGTCGTTGAATGGGGTTCTCTGAAGTAATATTGTATGAGATTCTGTGTTATTTATATACCACTCATATAAGATGTCTTTTTGTGTAGATATATCCCACACAAGGGTTTAGTGGAGAATATCGCCACGTCTTCAGCCGAGGCTCAAAAGATTCTGAAGGGTTCGCAAATGTCTGCCGCATATTATGACACAACAGACTCTCACACAAAGCTTTTGTTCAATGACTTAAATTCAACTGTCCTGGACTTTAACTTTGAATTCGGTTGCGGCTAATATGATTTATTGTTATTTATAAGGGATTCTTATTGAATGTTGTGTTATTATGTAGGAATCGAGTTTGATACCCCGGTTATTTCTAATATGGATTTAGAGCTCAAGAAGTTTGGAATTCCCAAAACCCAACGCCCGAAACATATCGACGCGGCCCTCACGTTAAGAACAAGCGGTCAAAACACAGAGTTATATCTCTTTGTTGAGGACAAGTACTGCTCATTTCGTATGCAATTGGATGTCCCGCAGGAATGCCTTTTCAAACCAATTAAAGAGTTTCTCAATTGCAATAAAGTTGTGACAAAAGGCGTGACTTGTGATAAGCCTAGCGGTGAAGAGAAGGCCATTAACGTGGCTCTAAATAAGGCGCCCAAAGACTTTCAAATTGGTCGAATCGCTTCCAGAAGTGGTGATCTGTCACCGAAGGAACAAAATGATGACAACCAAACTAAAGTAACCAAAAATATGTCACAAACTTTCTCTACTAATGTATGTCTCCTATTGACGAGTGCTTTTGTATTAATTATTTTTACTTTATTTTAAATCTCTCCAAAATTAACTTTTAAAATGTTTAAAATTGTCAAACAATATACTTTAGAATCTGTATAATGTGTAGATTCTTGATTTATACTCAATACAAATATAATATTCTTTACAGTTTTGATATGATAATCAGTTATTGACTCAAATAATGAAATATTGAAGAAATAATTTTAAATAAAAGTAAATAATACATAAAAGTAAAGAATCCAATGAGAAAATATTGAGAATATGTATGATTTTGAATGCATTTACTAAATATAATGAATAGAAAGTGTCGTTCAAATTGAACACATGTATGAAGTGCGGGGTCTGGACCTCAACCCCTGATAAGCATAACGTTATATGTGATACAAATAAGTGCTTTACAGGTGTGTTGTGAAGGTATGAAAGGTATGGCATGAATGGGACGGGTGTGTCAGTTGTGTCTGTATCTGCAGGTGACTTGTGATCCATTTGGTGGCAAACCATAGATAATGGCTCTGCTGAGGGGGTGTTGGGCGCCGTGTTTTACACTGAACTCTGGGTTCATGAACCTGAGGAATGGATCCATCACTATATCACTGTATTGTGCATTCATTCACGTATTGCTTCTGTTTTATTCAATATATAT